TTGATGTGAGAGAGATACATCGACCAGTTGCCACTCACATGACCCCAACGGGGGTGGAGAACAAACTGCAACCAAAGTATGTGCCCTTAGCGGGAACCGAACCTGGGCCTCTCTGGTTCGTGGGCCGATGCACTAACCAGCCAGGGCTGGAGTTTGCTTTATTATTGTACATTGCATTATTAACATAGGAATAATCTTCACAGGAAAGGGAACACCACTTTCTTTGGCAGCTTGGGAATGAGGGGGGCTTACATGTGATCTAAACTCAAGTAGTATGACCTACACTTGAAAATAACACAATGATTTAAATATGTATATAAAAATATGTATATAAAGCCAGACTCATACTAGTGGTGGCTAAAGCACCAGGATTTCCTGCAATGTGACCTACTTTATATTTTGAGCACCTAGACATCCAAGCTTCCTTGTTCTTGTCTATATGCCTGTTTTTTTTAGGCCTGAATCTCTCTCATTTAAATTCATTTTCTGCTTAAGAAACCCAGAATCATTTTCCAATAGTTAAAACTAAAAATCCTGACACATAAATTTGTTTTTTAAAAATGACAGAAAATCTGCTAAGACTCAGCAAGGAGACCTGTGAGTATGATGGGTTATCACTTTCATAATTGGGTTACTAATCAATTGACATTCAGTTAAGCAAAAAGAAGATTATTTCGAGTGGGTCTGACCTAATCAGGTAAGCCTTTAAAAGAAGGTAAAACTTCAGAGAGGTGTGTAGCTGCTGACTTTGAAGGCACACTTCCATGACTTCTACAGTGCAAGAAAATGAACTCTGCGTACAGCCATGTGAGTTTAGAAAAGAACTCCAAGAATCAGAGGAGATCTCGGATATGTCTGACACCTTGATTCCAGCCTTGTGAGACCCTGAGCAGAGAGTCCAACTAGACCACCCTTGGATTTCTGACGTACAGAAACTATGAGATAAAGAATGGATGCTGTTTTAAGCTATCAAATTTCTGGTCATTTATAAAAACATTAATCGTAAACTAAATCGACTTATAAAACCACTATACTAAAGACAACAAAACATTGCTGAGAAAAACTAAAGAGAATCTAAATAAATGGAGAGATTAAAAAACTTGGTATTTTTAAAATGTCAAGGTTCTTTAATTTGATTTATAATTTCAATACAATAGTTATAATCCAAAAAGGCTTTTTAAAGAAAATAGAAATTGGGAAGTTGATGCTACAATTTATGTGAAATGCAAAGGATTTAAAACAACCAGCCAAAATAAACAAAGGGTAGAATTAGAGAATTTACTCTATTTGCCTTCAAAGCTTCCTCTGAAGTTACAGTAATTAAAATAAAATGAAACAAAAGCAAATTCATAGATACAGAGAACAGATTATTCCTTACCAAAGGGGAAGGGGGTTGGAGGTGGATGAAGGGTGTCAGTTGTATGATGATGCACGGTGATCAGACTTTTGGGGGGAATCACTTTGCCTCTTTAACTGCCTTACCTTTTCTCAGTCTCCTATTCAGTCTAATCATTGACTCTATTTCCTGTCTTTTTCTCTGTATCTAGATGTCTGAATAGGTCTACACTCAACCAACTACACTTTGTAGAGTATACAGATACTGAATTATAAAATGGCACACATAAAATATGTACGTGTGTGTGTGTGTGTGTGTATTAAGAAAAGATAGTGGGGCACTGATACAATGATAGAAAACAGCTCAACTGAAAAAATAGAAAATCTAGAAATGTATCCACACTGACATCATCGATAATTTTAGCAAAGCATATAGAGTAAAAATATAAAAACATGGACATGAGAAATACTCAGCAAATTTGGGTCACCGCTCACACCAGCAGCAGGGGGCAGAAAGGACTGCCCAGGAAGACACAGCATTATCTGGAAAGGTTTGTTTCCTACACCACACGAACAAAAACAGAAGACCTGAAGCAAGTATGAGAGAATGCCAGATGTCGTTCAACTGAATAGTGGTGAATACATGGGATGTATTTCACTCTTCTTTAGATTTTTTTATGTTTGTTTAAAGTATTTCCTTGAAAAAAATAATCTTCCCTTATGACAAACCACTTTCACTGTTTTTTTAAATCCTTACCCAAGGATATTTTCCTATTCTATTGATTTCACAGAGGAAGAGAGAGAGAGAAAAAAAAAACATCGATGTTATACAGAAACATCAATTGGCTGACCCCCCCACACATACAAGTGCCCCAACTCAGGGTGAAACTCACAACTCAGGTATGTGCCCCAACGGGGAATCAAACCCCCAGCCTTTCCATGTAAGGGTGTAAATGTGATGCTCCAACCCAGCCACCCAGTCGGGGCAGCTTTCACATGTTGAGTGTACACAAATGACCTACATTATGACTTTTAAGATACTTTCTGTATTTTTCTATTTGACATTGGTCCCTACATAGGTGGAGACATGTGATTTCTATATAACTGACCATCAAAATGAGATATATTCTCTGCATTTGCCATTCTGCACAAAACGTCTGCATCCCTGTTACCACGGATTACTTCTGCCGCCAGGGACCACTGCTGAACATTGATCTCACCAGGAACGATGCCACACTCCTGGTCATACTCAAGTGGACATGGCAGGTCTTTGCTTGACGTACGAACATGACTTGAGTGTCATTCAGATCTCCAGAGCTGTGTGAAGCAGGTATATTTATTGTTGGATCTGGTGCACTTTAAGGACTCTTCAAACATATTTATAACAGTTGTGACCCTGCAAACCTGTAACTCCAGGTTGCCCAATGCCTTCTGGGCTTCAGAACTTTTCTTCAAAACACCTACACTTCTTGTTCCCTGGCCACCTGTCAGGTACCTCAACCTCAGGTGATTCACAATCAAACTAAATAAATGAGCCCCTTCAGAAACCCTCTCCTTGTTTCTACCTTTTCCTAGGTCACTAGGAATCGTGTCACTGTTCATACAGGTACAGAAACCAACAAAACAGGTAAAAATAAAAAGCAAATAAATTATGTGACCTGATGTTAGTGTGAGCTAATGCTATGGTAACAATTTTGTAAGGGTATCAAATCAACACATTGTATACCTTAACCTTACACAATATTGTGTCAATTATTATGCAGGAAAGCTGGAAAAAAATTGGTTTAACATCTGGAATGCAATCAATGTAACCATACTAACTAAAAAAGAAAAACCATATGACCATTTCAGTAGATTCAGAAAAAAATATTGACAAAAGCCAACACCCATTCCTGAAACAAAAACCAAAACACAACAACTTTTCCCTGGCCAGTGTGGCTCAGTTGGTTGGAGTGTTATCCCATACACCAAAAGGTGGCAGGTTCGATTCCTGGTCAGGGCATTTACCCAGGTTGTGGGTTCAACCCATTCGGGGGGTGGGAGGCAACAACAACAACAACAAAAAACTTAAGATACACTACATATCCATTAGATTAGATAAAATTAAAATGATCAATGTTTCTCTCTTTCTCCTTTCCTCTCTCTAAAAAAATCTTGTCCTTGGGTGAGGATTACAAAAAATAAAAAAAGAAAACTGGTAACAGAAGGTAATTTCACCATCTGTTACAGGTCACTACAGAAACCTAGAGATCACATTATACTTAATGGTGAAAGATTGTTTTTCTCCTAAAATCAGGGAAAAAACCCACAGGGATGTTAGTTGCCATCACTTCTATTCAACATTGTAGTGTAAGTTCTAGCCCATTCAATCAAGTAAGAAATAAAGGCAACCATATTGGAAAGGAAGAGATAAAACTGTCTTTATTTGCATATAACAATAAAAGTACTAAAACTGATTAATGTGTGAGTTTAATAAAGTTGCTGAATATAAGAATACCACATAACATATACTATAGAAAGTTCACTCAAGGATCATACAATTAAAGCTATAAAACTTGCAAAAACAGAGGAGAAAATATGCCTTTGTGTTAGGAGAATATTTCTTGGATACTATAGCAATAACATTATTCATTAAAAACTGATAAATTAGATTTCATCAAAATGGAAATCTTTGTGCTCTGTGAATTATGCTGTTAAGAGAATGAAAAAGCAGGTCACATACTGGGGGCACTATTTGGAAATTAGAAAGGGACTTGTATCTAGAATATATAAAGAACTCTCAAACCTCAATCATAAGAAAACAACTCAACTGAAAAAAACAATCGACACTTACTAAAGAAGCTATATAGATGCAAACCAGCTCATGAAACAATCTCAACACCACTGGTGCAAGAAAAGACAAATCAAACAAATTTAAGAGTTTTTGCATAGCAAAGGAAACCATTAACAAAAACAACAACAAAAAAACAAACTTAAGCCCTGGCCAGTTTGGCTCAGCGGTTAGAGCGTCGGCCTGCGATCCTGAGAGACCCGGGTTCGGTTCCCACTAAGGGCATGTACTTCGGTTGCAGTTTGTCCCCGGCCCTGGTTGGTCGTGCAGGTGGCAGCCACTCGATGTGTCCCTTCACGTCGATGTTTCTCTCTCTCTCTCCCTCCCATTCTATCTGTACGAAAAATGGAAAAATATCCTCGGGTGAGGATAAAAAAAAAAATAAAATAAAATAAAAAACAAACTTAAGATACACTACACATCCATTAGATTAGATAAAATTAAAAAGTGTTGGCAAGTATATGGAGGAACTCAAACTTTAAGCAATGCTGCTTGAAATGTAAAATGGTACAATTTTTTTTTTTTATCCTCACCCGAGGACATTTTTTCATCTTTTTGTTCAGATAGAGTGGGAGGGAGAGGGAAAGAGAGAGAGAGAAACATTGATGTGAAAGGGACACATCGAGTGGCTGCCACCCGATCAACCAACCAGGGCCGGGGACAAACTGCAACGGAGGCACGTGCCCTTAGCGGGAACCGAACCCGGGACTCTCCGGACCGCAGGCCGACTCTCCAACCGCTGAGCCAAACCGGCCAGGGCTACAATTATTTTTTTAAAACAACTTTATTGAGGTACAATTGACAAATAAAATGGTAAAATATTTATTTATTTATTTATTGATGCACCAATCCCAGAGGTACCTCAATACCAGGTCTATGTGTGAGTGGACACAGCAATCTCCTATTCTATCTCCCTGTTCCAAAAATACATTTAATATATTGTCCTTGGATAGAGAATGTATCAGATATTAAACTGATAAGAACAGATACTACACTTGATCCCAGCCAAAAGGCCAAGAAGTGATAAAACGGTAAGATATTTAAATGTACCACGTGATGGTTTGATATATGTATACATTGTGAAAGGATTTCCCCCATCAAGTTAATGCCATCTGTCACCTCACATGTCTACTTTTCCCTGTGAGTGTGAGACCTTTTTAAATTCTACTCTCTTAGCAAATTTCAACTATGCAATCCAGTGTAGTCAGCTATAGTCACCATGTTCATCATTAGATCCTCAGGTCTTATTCACCCTTTTCCCACTCTCCTCCTGTTTTCCCCACTCTCCAGCTCTTGGCAGGAATGGAAAGCAGATTTATGTTTCTTAAAAAGGACTGATCTAGTTATTCATCTTCTACATATTTATTCACAAGAAATGCAACATGTCCATGCAAAGACTCACCTACAGCTGCTCAGAGCAGTTTTTTTGTTTTTTTTTGTTGTTTTTTTTTTTGGTATTAGCCAACGGCTGGAAACTGCTTAAACGTCCGTCAATAAGCAAATGAGTAAATAGTGTTATACCCATATAACTGAACTCTACTACGCAATAAAAAAAATGAACTATTATAATGCAACACATTGATGATCTACAAAATAATTATACTGGATGGAGGAAGTCAGACTCCTCCACTCTAAAAATAGTACAAGCTCATTGAACCCATTTATGTAAAATCTTGGAAAATAAAAACTCAAACTAATTACAGTTATAGAAAGCTATCCAATGTTTGCCTGATGATGGGGAGAGGAAGCAAGAAGGAGAAATTAAACATATGCACCAGAAAATGTTTTAGGTTCACTGTCATGACTGTGGTGATGGTTCACAAATGTATGTGCATGTTGAACCATAAAACAGTGTACACTTTAACTATGTGCAGCTCATTACATGTCAAGTACACTTAAATAAAACTAATTTAGAAAAATAGATGAGATGTAAACATTAAATCTCATCTCACAAGCTCGTTGAGATACGTTTCTTCCATCAGTAGTAATGGACAACGTCCCAAATATGTATAGTAACAAAACTTTCTTGAGCATAGAGACTCTCATCTTTCTAGGAAGAAACTTACAACTCTGGTAAAATACTTAAGCAATTTCTAATAAACTTTAAGATAGTAAGATCTCCTCTGAAATTAAGTAGCCCCTCTTTGGCTATTAGGTGACTAATGTTCTTTAGCTGGTTATTCTTTTTTCTTATCTCCAGGTAGCAAAGAGTATCATTTAACTTTACAAGTATTTTTTACTGAGAAAGACTATTTTTTATTTGGGCAGTTTACCCTTTCCAGTTGCAGATTTTGAAATATAACTGTGGTAGAGGTTCTTAACAAAATTGCCTAATTTTTTAAATTTTTAAATTGTGAATCATGTAAATAAAAATGAGAAGGAGGGGCAGAGGTAGGGGGAGAGGTAAAAAGAGGGTGGTCCAAGGGAATGGGAAACTGATTAGTGAAAATTGAATGAAATTTAGAGAAACAAACACAATTTTAGGATAAATAATTAAAGGGGAATATTATGGATTAGATTTTTAAATTAATGGTAACCTGCAGCGTAGCTGAGTAAGAGGATTAAAAGGATACACTTATTAACATGTAGAGAGCACTGTGTAGTATTCAAATGTTTTATTTTGATTAGGGGACTCTGGAGTATTTATAAAATTATTAGGTTGGGTTTAAAAACGTCTCTCTTTCTTCTATCAAAACTTATTTCTGCCTTTTACACAAGACAGAGTACAATCACCAAAGTTCTAAGAAAATGTGAATAGTTGTAGTAGCATGTGTGAATGGCCTATGGAAAGTTGTTTCCATTGGAAACAATCACTTACATAATTCCCACCCCCACAGGAGACTGTGCAGTGGAAGACATCACCTTGAGCCTTTACACCTAATCAGAGCTCTGCTGTGTCAGGAAAAAAGAAAAACATGACCTTCTTGCTTTTAATGACCCAAAGGGAGTTATCTATTATATTAAATGCCAGGACAACTCACAAAATATAAAGGATTTAAGGCAGAGACAATAGATCATCCCAGTTTTTCATACAGACTGATTAATAGTCTAGGAACCAACAAAATACCAACAGAGAATAATCCTGACACCTATTTCAAGAACTGATGAAGAAACCACGCTGAATGAAAGTTTAATCACGATTTCCTACTGCATAGCCACTTTCCTAACGAGATCACATAATTACAAGTGAGAGAATTCATATCCTCGGCTAATACATAATTATGTCTGGAAGCATAACCACTAAACTAGGAAATTGAATCATTTCAAGAGGATGCTTTTCACACACAAAACAGGTATGTAGTTAACAAGAGGGACTCTGGGCTCCTGTTTGCACATTTAAAGTCATAGGTACAATTTGAGAAAGCTCCAAAAAGTCCAGTAAAAGGGTTTGGGTACTTTCTGGAAGAATAATTCAGTTGATATGACAGTAAGTAATATTTTGTGCAGGAAGCGTTTGTTAAGCTTCAACTCTAAATTTTGGGAATGGTTGAAAGTATTCTGTTTTTTAAAAGAATGATTTGAATTCCTGAAGTTGCACATATAAAGATTAGAAGGAATTCTGAGACTGTCGGGAAGAATAGGCTCTGTATTCTCAGAAACACCTTTAAACATTTCTATCTCAACTTCTATTTTGAAGGAAGTTGATTCGCAAGTTGAAACTTTTAAATGAAATCAGTGTTACATAATGAAAACTTTCCTGAATGCAAAACGAGAACCAGGAGAATCTAAGGAGTGGCAAAGGATGTTAACTGGAAGTCCTATTCATAGTACCATCAGCTTGATGATTCTGTACAAGCCTGTGAATGGTTCTTGTCTGAGAAGAGCCTTCAAATGTGGATAGACAGACTAAGTGCTGAACATCTTGACAACTTCAGACATTTGACCAGTGAGACCTGACATTTAATCTTGTTAATCCCGATAATAAGACCAGCATGAAATCACACACTTGAATGCAGTTAGGTCCATGGTTATGATGAGCAAAAAGTTGATCACCAAATCCTCAAACCTTCCAACTCAATGTTCAAAGGAAAGTTTTTGTTTTAGAAATCAGAGTGTCATTGAGATTTAGTACAGTAGAGAAACTTCACAATGTACTCTCTTCCCTTCCACTTTTCTCCTGCTCCTTTTCCAGAAAGTCGTGCTGTACCTTCTATATTTCAGGCATTGAATTCATTTTACAGACAGAGAAACAACATCCAAAAGGATATAATGGTTTCCCCAACATGATTCCTTTAAGCACGGCTTTTCTTTATGACCATCATAAAAGCGAGTTCTGCAGTCCATTGCTCTTCGGCCGTGTCGTGATACATCGCATTAAAAATCAGAATTTATAAACCTCAGTAGAAATCAATGGCAAAGCTTAAAATATGGAAAACCTTAAAATATCTTATGATATTCTAATAATACCCAAATAACCAGTGACAACATAGGACAGATCAATGGAGACATACCCTTGGTCTGATACAGTGTGACTTTTCATAGGACAAACATTTATGTTCTAAATGTGTTCCTTGTGTTTCCTATATTTCTGGAATTTTTCTAACTGAACAGCTTTTTTTTTACAGGATGTAAACTATTTTTATCATTTAACACATTATGCAGGGTGTGGCAAAAGTAGGTTCACAGCTGTTTTATGGAAAACATTATAATAATAAATAATAACACAAGAATAAACTCTGTGTTTCACATACTTACAACGTAAACCTACTTTTGTCCCACCCTGTATTCATATTGCCTCAGTTTTAAGAAGATGGAATGGTTAATTTTATTTAATTTAGAGAGTTTTGGTTGGATTAGTTACTGCTTTAGACCACCTCATCAATATCCGAGTGGAGTGTGTTATCCCTAGGGTGCACAGAATGCCCTCTGGAGATCAGCAAGAAAATGCCAGAACTTCATTTATATCTTTTATTTTATCCTTTTCTAATTTCTATATTATATACATTTGTTAGAGTAAAAAATATGAATATCAGCTTCAAATTACACAACTGTCATTATAGGGTATAATAAGGATGCATATTTCATAAAGATGCAGAGTCATTTATGGGTTAAAGGGTATAGGTGCCAGGGCCAGACTGAGTTTAAAGTTTAAATGGCTCTCTTGCCCATCAGTAGACAAATGGATAAAAAAGCTGTGGTACATGTACACAATGGAATACTATGCAGCTGTAAGAAAGAAAGATCTCTTACCCTTTGAGATGCCATGGAAGGATCTGGAGAGTATTATGCTAAGCGAAATAAGCCAATCAGAGAAAGACAAATATCACATGATTTCACTTATATGTGGAGTCTAATGAACAAAATAAACTGGCAAACAAATAGATCCAAAGATATAAAATCAGGGAACAAACTGACAAGGACGGGTGGGGCTGGAATAGATTAACCAAAGAATTTATATACGTATATGCACAACCTGTAGACACAGACAATAGTGTAGTGTAGGCCGGGGGTTGGGCAAGAGCCTGGCAGAGGGGGGAACAGGTGGGAGGGTATGAGGGACATTTGTAATACCTTCAACAATACAAATACATTTAAAAAATAATAATAAAAAACGTAAATGGTTCTCTTACTTACTATTTACCTATGTGATTGTTGACCAAGTTTCTAAACCTTTCTTTGCCTCAAATTCCTTATTTGTAAATAGAGATGATAATAAATAATAGTTTCTCATTTTATAGGATTGCCATAAACTTTAAGTGAGCAAAAAAAAAATACATGAGCACTTAGTACAGTACTACTTGGCATATATGAAGCACCTGATAAATGTTAGTTACAAGAGCTGTATTTATGTGTGTGTGTGTATTACAGTTTTTTTTAGTTTTGATAAAGGTATGCAATTTAATACATATAGAGAGGCAGAAGATTAGGCAATATGTAGATATATAACATCGAACATCTGTTGTATGCAAGCTCTGTGTTAGAATGTGAGGGAATTCAAAATTAATAGGACACAAACCTTGTCTCTTAGGGGTTTATGTTCTTTCAGAAGTCAACAATAATATCCTAAGAAGACAAATAAAAATCT